TATCTCCTCATGTTATTGAAGAAAAAAAAGTTGCATTTCTATTTTTGGAATATACAATAGCATCTTTTTTTGTGCAACAAATCTGATGTGACTTCTTTGATGGAACTTCTTGCAATACCAAACTTCTTACTCTTTTCTCTCTTTTTATTTCAGATTCTCCTCGTTTTTGTTGTTTTTTTGTGTTGTCATTTTGTGGCTTGCAATGTTGCCCTTAGTTTTGTTGGCTTTCATAGGTGTTAACAGTATTACTTTTTTTTCATAGTTCTTAAAAAGGTATTTTCGTGTAGATGTTGAAACTACTGATAGTGTAATGCTAATGTCTGAATACTCTAAAAATAATCAAGAAGCGAGTAGGTAAATTTAACATAGGGATAGTAAATGCTTTACTGATAATATTATTGGATACCTTATATGTCCCCATTTAGAAATGGTCCAGTAGATATTGTTCACCACAGTAGATCAATAAACAGGTATCACATAGCAGTTTTCATATAAGTTAATAATATGTGTGATAGATTTTGTTTCTTTCACATATCAATTTTTGATGATTATATTACAGTTTGTGATTTAAAGTCTCAATTTCATTTAATGTACTGACAAAGGATACATACACTGTTAACTTTGGTTTTGCCTTATTGATATTTTTTTTACACATAGATGGCTTCACAAGACCTTAGAAGTCAGATTACAAGGCTACCTGAGCTCACCTTTTTAACCTATACCTTGAATTTATATATTTATCTCTTTTATTGTGTTTGTATTAATAACATTGTTGTGAAGATTATAATAATTTGTATGGTTTTTAAAATTTGTGTGAGGCTCAACTCAATGAATAATCATACATAGGAACATGAATAAACACAGAAATAAATATCTATCAGTCTAGACAGGCATAGCTTTTGGTTAGATACAAATTTAACAACTGACTTGAATATCATTAGTATAACATTTTTCATAATGATAAAACTGCTTTTTAAAAATTCAAGGCATGGGTTTATTGGCAAGGTCAGATAAGGCTTGTAATTGGCTTCTTGATGTCCAAGTGCTTCTGCTATCGTCAAAGTTTAAAAAAAGAAAACAAATCCTTAGTGGACAGTTGGTGTCAGTGGATTAATTTCGTGATTGGCCAAGAACTTCAGCCTTGACAAAACTCATTAAGCAAGGCCTCAAGACACACTACTGTAAGGGACAAAAAAATTTACCGCATTTTCTTCCCCTTCCTGTTCATGTACCTCACCCTCCCTAACCCACCTCCCTTCCCCCCTTTTGACCCAAGACCCTGATGGAGAAAGCGAGCTGCACCAGCGCAAGGGAGCCTATGGGGGGGACGTGAGTGCGGACGACTTCCAGAGAAAGATGCTGAGTGACGAACAGAAGCGCGAGAAGATGGTGGAGGATATGATCATCATGACGAGAGAGTGGAAGGAGCAGTCGAGGATCGCCAACAAGATTATTAAGAAGGACATAGATGTAGGTTGAGGTGACGTATATTGGTTGAAGGGGAATGGGGTTATCTTGTTTTTTTTTTCTTTTTCTTACTTATCTTGTTTATCTCTTTTCTTCTTTCTTCCTTTCCTTTGTTCTCTCTCTTTCTTTCTTTCTTTTTTGTGGGATGTCTTTAGGTAGAATTTTTTTTTTTTACGTCAGTCATAACAAGTAAAAGCGTAGTGATATTTGCTAATTCCTCTCTAGCTCTGACTGATTATTGTTCTTATGTAAGGTAGGAACCAATACATTTTAAAATCTGGGACTACTGTCTTCCATAATTATTTTTGGTTTATATATATTAATGATTGTTGTGGTCATATAGTTCAACCTAAACTTTACATAAACTTTATCTTTTTTGACATCTTTTGACCATTAAAAAATAAAAGATCAAATAGATAACCATCTTTACTGAGCTGTTTTAATATCTCTCTCACCCAGAGATGCTAACATTTGTCAAGCTCAAGAGAAAATTGGTCAAGTTTGGCAGGAGAGGTGGGGGGGTGGGGTGAACAATGAATACATTTTCAGACAGTTTATTTTCATGTCATATAATTAACATCGAATCATGCACATGAAAATTCACCCTGTCAAATACATTTTTCAGGCACTGGATAAGTCGTCAAAAGTGGCCGACTCCAACCAGACCCATCTGAAGGTCGAGGCGAACAGGCTGGCCGAGTACAACAAGCGAGCGTGCAACTTCTGGATATGGATCATGATCATCATTGTGTGCTTTACGTTCATCGGTAAGGAAAGCGTAATTACCTCTTTTTTTTTTTGCAAGGGGTATAGGATATGTTATGGTGTGTGGGGAGTCTAATTTTTATTATGATTTTAAATTTAAAGGAGGTAGAGTGGTGGCAAAGTTGAAGAAATTTTATGGGTTAGAGTGTGAAAGACATGAAAAAAAAAACACTTACTAATTATGTATGATATGTACATTGTTTGATTATTATCAGTTTCACTTTTTTATTAATCAACATATTATTATTATTATTATTATTATTATAAT